CACAACGTGTACTTGTGATAATGTACTATCAACAAAAGTCGACCGTCCCTTAGGACCTCTATTAACAAATATTTTTAAACCGGATTTTGTTATATCTTCTAAGGTCTCCATATTTTTTTCAATATAAGGTTGCACCAAAAATCCATATAAAACGCTCTGGTATGCATATATCAAGAAGCATGCATAAAAAATACTAAATATCACAAATATTTTACTGCTCAGTAGCAAACGTTGTTGTTCTATGTTGGATGACATATTTATTTGAATTTTGATGAGATCCAAATATGGTATATAATCATAATCGGAGGTTGATGGCAATTTAATGAGAGTCAATATAAACCAAAATGCACATATAACGATAAAACTAATCAAAACTGCGTACCACACGTAAATTTGAAATGGCATTAAAAGATTAGTTAATCCAACAACTTTACCTGATTTTGGTACTAATATAGAATAATGTTCTAGACGTATCGGATATTGTAATTTAGCCATTCCAGGTAATATAAAATTTGCTGATCTTGTAAAAATTGCATCACAAGCATTATTTTTGGCGTAAGTCAAAGATGCCATATAAGTTGAAGTGTCTTCAGATTGAGTTCTTACGATACCCTCACTTATATTAAAAAAATTGATAAAAGTTTGAAAAGCTCTCATATCGGGTCCAGTAATTTTAGTACTGTTTTCACTAAATTCGATAAACGGCTGATGGTGTAAAAGACAAGATTTAATTTGAAATCCTTGAAGATTTGCAGTATTGCGTTGATATAACTTTCGGAAATCAAATTTACCAGTGTCATTGAATAGCACTTTTTCGTAATAATTAAACGTGAACCAGTTTGGTAAATTATATATTTGTGACCAGACAATAATCACAACTGTTATTATTCCTCTAGAGCCAAATTCTGAAAACAATTGTTTGATGTTTTGCAAAAAGTTGTCATTTTCCACTGTTTTATCCAATATAAAAAGAACTACTAAAGTAGCGCGTTTGTAATGAGGCCATCTATAGTAGGAAAGCAATTTTTCCTCAACTTCGAATGCTTTCAAAAATAACAAAATCACTGTGTTATCATTATTAAGTTCTTCGTCACATATAGATACATTTCCATAATTTTGTTCACTATTTATTGATAAAATTTCTACAGCACTTAAGTAAGATAGATCACTTAAATCGTCAAGCAAGTCTATGTTGAAAACAGTTATTGTTCTTCCATAAACATTCCAATAGCTGGACATATTTGCAACAATATTAAAAATAATTGAATTTTTATCTATATGCGAAACAGGAGTTAATATCCCTTGTATAAAAGATATTACACTAATAACTATCACAGAAATTGAAGTCATGCATTTTGTGAAATGCATAACAAAACGTAATTTTGTCAAATTCAATGCACTGCATTTCTTCAAACAATTTGCATTTATATTTAACCCCAGATGATTATTGTAATCAAATCACATCAGATCCAGCCAAAACCTGCATAGTAACATTTTTCACTATTGAAGACTAAAAATATTAATACAAGTTGTATCGCAAACCAAACCGCAATACATTATAGTCTATTGCCATACAAGATTGACAAAAATATATAAAAATATTGTTTGCACAGAGTGGAAATTGCCAGTTGGATTTGTAGAAAAAAACTAGTAATATTCATATAGTTATTGGAAATTACCTAATAAATATTACAATTAACACGATCACAAATTATACAGTTGTCATAATCGATGACAATACTTCGATTCGACATGCTAGTAGAAGCTTATTACACGGAATACATAAAGAAACATGATTTTTGTTCCTGACCAGAAGCTATGCATAAATAAAATATCGTACATTTATGGAAGTAACTCGTGGCATAATTTAGTCATAACAAAAAACATTTAGTCGATATTACAGGTTTTTAGAAAACAAAAATTTATATCACATGATCACAAGTCAGTGGCACGTGCTGCCAATTTGTAATGTTTGAAGTCGTAAAATTGAAGCAAATATTTCAGACCAAAAATGAGAATTTTAGATTTTATATAATTAAAAATCAGACTAAGGAAAACAAATAGTTTTGAATAAGTTCATAATATTCAATCAATCAATTTCACACGTTTTGTTATTGTCAAAAATTGCCATTTGGTGCCACTTGTCAGTTATTGTATTTTTATATAAACTTTTTTTGTTTGAAAATTTTAAATATCGTTACAGAACTCAAAAATTCATTAACAATAAGCTCATTTCAATATTCAAGCATACGATTTTAAGTTTGCAAATGAATTTTTACATCGTTTCGGTACATCGTTTAAAACCTAAAATGTTTACCTTAGGTAAGGTTATTAGTTTTTATTAATTTATATAGTATTATTTGAATTATAATATAATGTAATTTTGAATTTCTAAGCTATATTGTATCTCTATATTATATTATATTTATATCTTTTATGATTGCTCAAAATAAGAGTTTTTGTCCAAGAAACATTAAGCAAAAACAGAGAGATTTATAAGTCTAAATTTTTGTAAAAAAAACAAAACTCATAGGTATATCTCCTATATTATTAGCAAAATTGTCAATATTCAAAATTCAGTAGATAAAATACAATTCTACAAAATATAATTTTAAAGCAGAAATAGTTTTCTACATTATTTTCTAAATTATAGATCATTTAATGATTTGATGAAGATCTAATTCTATAAAAAAAAATCTTTTCAATATTATATACATAAAGAAACATGACTACTAAATAAATTATAAGATATTATTTCCATCATGATTTTAATTTTTTAATATAAATATAATTAATGAAGAATATTAGTCCAAGCTTAAACTATTTCTAATATTCTGTAAAAAATATTTTGTATTATCGCTCTTAGTATTTTAATAGAGCTGAAGAGTTCTAAGATATAAATTGGTAAAAATAGAAATAATTATTATAGCTATTATTATTTGTAGTGGGTATGCATTAATGCCCATCACTGGTTTTACAAAAGACGTTTATAACGCTCAATAGAAAAATATTGTACTAAATCCATTCTTCTATTCAATTCATGTAGAAATATGTATAGATGACATATTATGATTAGTGATCAAAAATATATGCTCGAACCATTCCAGAAGGCATCATAATTTTCCAGGACGTATCAAGGTGTCTTCTATATGTCCCACTCGGTTAACATGTTAATACCATAGAAATCAATACTAATCATTTCATTTCTAAATATTCTGATACTCGGAATATTGATGTACCTTATTATAAGACAAGTTTTTGGTATGCAACATCTGCGTATATTCATCTGTTAGAAAGGTCTATACTCAGGCGTAAAATTTGGATGTTTAAGTACCAATCGCACTAAAACAAAATTTTCAAATAAGAAATCTAAGTTTAAGACATCATCGGTAAAAGTCGATATTATGCCTATCGAAATGGGAAATATTTATTTTAATGTTTGATCAGCATCGCTTCAAAAGTTATAGAAAGTCAGAGCAACAAAACCAACTTCACAAAATGAACCCTTTTCACTTCAGAAAGTTAATTTTTTTTGTATTTTTGAATGACAAATTCATATAAAACATATTCTATCACTATTCTTCATTTCGTTATAATGTTATTGTATATATTAAGTTTCCTGTGTATTCAAAAGTGACATCGAGTTGCTGGTAAATAACATCCAAAAGGGAACAGGGTGTAAAGGGTTAAAGAAAAAAATTGTGAAAAAAGTTAAATTACCAAACCAACACAACTACATATAAAAAATTGAGGAGCCAATTCTGCGGTAACATAGACGACAAGATAGCGTTCTTATAGCAACGCTATCTTATCCTTATTTCTTGGTACTAAAAACTGTCGAAATGCTATTTATATGCTGTGCAATCAGGCGTATTTTACATATAAACAAACCTAGAAGAAAATTTATCACTGCATCTGTATGATTTGTTTCATGTGTAAAACGCCCAATCGTACAGCATATAGATAGAATTTTCACAATTTTCTGTACCAAGAAGAATAAGATAGCGTTGAAATAACAATGATATGTTATTGCCTATGTTACCAAAAAATTGGCCCCTGTATATGTCCAAAATTTATAACAATTTGGCCGCAAAATAGATCAATGTTATGGCAAGGTTATGTTACGTTCTATATTTCATACAAAATCGTTCTGAATACTGTCATAATGCCATGTAATTGTTGTACAATCAGGCGTTTTACACATAAACCGCAAAATCACTCGTATGTTATTAAACGTTATTAGAAAGACTCAGTTAACATAAGATCGGTTTGTTTGACATTTGTGCGTTTTCTAGGTTAGGTTTTCTACCTGGCAACCTGACGAAACGCATGACCGCACAGCAAACAGGTGGTTTTTGTCAGTATTCAGTGCAATTTTGTATAAAAAATAGAACGTGACAAAGCCTTGCCATAACATTGGTCTATTTTACGGCAGAATCGGCTCATTAATTTTGACATATAGGTATATAATCGTACATTTGGAGAATTGGTCTGTACGATAAACGAGACGATATGAAATTCACAGAAGGCGAACAAAAACTACTTCAAGGTGTGACGCTGAAGAAGTTATAATTGATTGTCTAGGTAACTAATAAAAAAATACTGCCAAAAGTGGGGATCAACACTTTACTGGATATGATTGTTAAAAGAAAACTGGATCAGTTATGCATTGGGAAAATAGTACCTTCTGCTCGACGTCATCGAAGGAAAAATAACTTGGCGGAAATAACAAAAACAAAGAATAATTCGAATGTTAGATAGTACAAGTAATTAAAAGTCTTGGCACAAAAATGGAAGCATGGAACCGGAACTTTATTGAATTTCATCAGAAATACAAAAGTATATACTTGAGGTATATTTACTATTTACTGAACGCGTAAACAAAAGACAATGCGATTGCTTAGTTTTACATTTTGTTGTTTTGCCAATTATGGCCAAATGTCAGGAGGAGGCCATAGGTAAATTGAATATAAGCATCAATAATAATATTATAATCTTACCTCTTTCGGTGACAGCACAGAGATGTATTCCTCATAAATGGCTCTCGCCCGCTCTTCGACCGCTTCCGGGCTTACTTCGCGCTTGAGCTCCTCGCATGCTGCCCAAAACAGCACGTTCTCTTCGGAGTACTCAAAACGCAGAAACTCGCGGAAAAGAACGCGCCCAGCTAAAAAATATTAACCAATAAAATTAATTACATTAATCGATTTTTCCTAATCTTAATTTTTTCTTAAAACTAATATTAAGAGGCAGCGTGAAAAGCATTTTGCCATTTCTTACAAAATTATCAGCCATCACAATTGCCATTATATTATTAACATAAAACATATGGCATATGACATTTGATCAATCGGGAGAGTTCCGCGATTGTCATCGGCAATGTTCGCTCAGACATGTGACGTCACATACCATTTTATGTTTGAGCACTATATAAAACGGAAAACATATGAGAACTAGCAGTCCATGTAGTGTAATGTGAGGTCATTTCCACATATTTGAATAAAATAAGAAACTAGATGTGAGTTGCACTTTTCCTTGACAAAAGCTACATAAACTTCCCCATTTTATAAATAAAAAATTAATATTCTGATTTATGTGTATTTTTAAGTATTGAGTTGTTGTAGAGCATCATATTGAGAGAAACTATTGCAACTTGTTGAGTATGTGCAAAATTGCCAAACATGTTAGTTATTATCAACAAATTGTTCGAATTATATATCACTAAAAACAAACACTCGCTTAATACATACACGGAGCATTTTCTGAAAACTCTAAATACTTTTTTATAATTAACCTACTTGTTATAGGCCACCAACATTTTAGTATGTTCATTAAGACCATGGACTCCATCAAAATTGAATCCAGGTTTAAGACTAAAATTTTTAAATTATAAAGAAACGACTTGGCTCCTCGTGCAAAACTACCTAACACAGGTTTGTCGAGTTTCATCGAATTGGTTCCAAATTTTTGCATTTGGTTTAGACGTTTTTGAGAAAACGCCGAGAAAAAGTAAAAAATAGGCCCAAATTCACACACACATATATGTTTACACAAACATACTTTTCTTGCCATCTTCGAAAGAAGAAGAGCAAATAACGCTAATTAGGAGAAAACTATGATTAAAAGAAAAAATCAAAGCATTATAGATCCTCCCCCATAAAGTAATATCAAACGGCGGTTTCCGTGGAGACAAGTCTCAAAAGATAAGCGGAGGTTTTAGTCGGTATTATACCCAAACGGTATTGAGTCAGACGAAAGGCCCAGTCTGAGATGAAAAAATGCATTCCTTTCACTATACAAAAAAAAAAAATTTCATACTTCTTCCAAAGTTGGTCTTAAACTATTAAGAATGTTTTGAAACGTCGAGAAAACAAAATTGGCAAGTCGGATTTTCTGCTGACATAAATTCGTCCTTCAGGAAGTTAATAAATGTTTTTCTCACAATGCAAATGTGTTCACAATTTTAAATCTAAGTGTAGAAAAACTTCAAATAAATTAAAGAAAGTAAATAAATTGTTAAAATGTTATTCTAATTTTTATCCAGGTTTAACAAGTAAACACAAAGAATTCAAATTTTGATTTAATATTGCTAAAATTTGTCGATAAATTTCAATTAAAACAAAAATTTTGAAAAATTCTTGGACTTAAGGCCCAAGGCTCGTTAACTATTCTACGGATTTTAATACGTATGTAAATTTTAGAACGCAAAGATTAGATCCAGCGTACTCAGAACAAAATATTAAGGACAATGGTAGATGCGCCTTGGTATGTGACTAATGAGACCATTCACTGGGATCTGGACATTAAAACTGTAAATAAAATTATAAATACCCGGAACTGTTCTTACCACAACAAAATCTGAACGTTCATTCGAACGCTGAAATACGAATCATCAACAAAATGGCTCAAACAAGAAGACTCAATAAGAAATGGCCAAAGGACCTGCAATATTAAATTGTATACAGACAGCTATAGATTAATTCTAGCAGAGGATCTCTTCAATGGAGGAGATCTCTAAACGCCATATATAACATCATCACATAGGCTTATAGAAACAATGTATTCTGATTGTCTATTGAATAATAAATAAATAAAAAAAGAATCAGTATGATTCTGATTCAATTTGTTGCAACGGGGTTGAGATATTATTAATATATTTTAGATATTCGGCCATCTGCTACATCAAATCATGAGTTATTCATCACTGATTTCAATACAGAAATTTATTACCTAGTAGCCCGTAACAGCACCAGCAACAAGATCTCAAACAATAGCAATGCCGTAGTTTATGTGTTATTTCTGAGTTGCAAGACGCAGTGCAAACTTGTGCTTTCTTACTGTGAGAGATGGCAAGACTATTACACGGTACATTTGGCGAGTTGCAATAAAGCTTCGAGCGAAGTCGAAAACTATGCCGTACGGTTCGAATGCACCAAATGATTTATGCTGCAGCGGCCGGCTGCCAATAACAATAAATCCGAATGCGATTTGCACTATTTGGAAACGGCATTCGAACGAAATTGAACAAGACGATATTCCATGATATTGGGATGAAAATGTTGAAGGGTTTGCGTACAATTTGTAATATTGTAACAGTAGTTTCTATGTATACTTTAAGAGGCACACCTTAGAGTGACAACCTAAAAAAAGGCCATTTTTGAGAAATAAAAAATAAAAAAACTAGTGAATCCATCTATTGAAAATTTTGAGAGTATATTTATACATGTTTTGAGAATACACAGTAAAATTTTTGAAATAAAATATCTAATATTTTTGAAATGACACGCGATCTCCGGCGACGCCGAGAAAAAAGGTCCTCCACTGCCTTCACAGTTGATAAAACCAAAAAAAATCTTGTAAAACTAAAACATATTGTCTCCAATCTGATCTGATCAAAAATTCGAATTTTGGCAGGCCAAAAACGACCAAAATTTTGGGAAAAATTTAACGTATATATACAATGACCCTCGGGCGAACAAAAAACGTTAAATTTTTCCCAAAATTTTGGTCGTTTTTGGCCTGCCAAAATTCGAATTTTTATAAACGGAGGGTCATCGTATATATACGATGATCCTCCGGCAAATAAAAAACGTTAAATTTTTCCCAAAATTTTGGTCGTTTTTGTCCTGCCAAAATTCGAATTTTTGATCAGATCAAAAAATTGGAGGATCGTCGTATGAAGAACCACAATAATAATGCTGTCAGAACCAAAAATGTAAAATTTTTCCAAAATTTTGGTTGTTTGTGGCCTGACAAAATTCGAATTTTCGATCAGATCAAAAAATTGGAGGATCGTCGTATGAAGAACCACAATAACAATGCTGTCAGATGTTGAGCGTCATTGTCAAAGTCTTGTCGCAGTAATCAAACTGTGCATTGCGCCTACAAAAGTTCGTTTTGAAGGAGTTTTTTTTATTTTGGGACTTATTCATTGTTATTTGTAATTATATCAATAGAAATCGATGAACTTGCACCAGTACTAGTTTTTATGATCAATTTTATTGCATTAATCGGGTGCTTGACGGAATTTTGATAATTTATCAATTTTTGTTTACTTTTAGTGTTGCACTAGTATGGAAACTGGCAAACTTGTAAAATGGACAAAATAACTATATTATTTTTTACAGTTCATTTGATACTATATGGACATAATGTTGCATTTTCCTTTAACAAATTTTTTATTATAGTTCCTGCTTCTTTGAAAGACTATGTTACTAGTAGTCAATGAACCAAACATAAGTAAAACGATTGAGACTGATTATTATATGTCGTATATGACACCATGTCATTTTGTCAGTACTTTTTCTAATACAATAATATTTTACTCAACTAACAAAGTTCTTCTAACAAAATATCTGACCTTTCACACTGGGATAGGTGCAGATACTGAAAAATCTATCTAGTTAATTTTAAACAGGATCTTATTTCTAAATTACATAAACCCTTTCTCATTATATTTAGAAACCCCAAAAACATTTTCAGGCTTTACTAAACCCTAAGAACATTTTGAGATTTATTATTTAAAAACCCAGGTAACGTTTTGTTCATGTATTAAATATTATATGAACTTTTGTAATTATGATCTAGCATAAGAAAGCAAAGGCAGCCACTTAGAACATACTTAGTCTAACTAATCAAGTTAGTTTTTTATATCAATTCATATGGACAAAAATATAAATATATTAACTAATGTTAGTTTTAACCTCTCATTTAATGAACAAATGTAAAATGAATAGTATTATAAAATAATCAAATTTACAAAATAAATTCCTCGAAAATGTATAGGCAATTAAAATTATTCAATTATTAATACTTTATATATATTGGTACAAAACAAAAATTCAAAAGCATTATTAAAATATTAACATTTTTATGTATAAGTACTTTTGACCCGAAAACGCTGTTTTTGTTAATGGCAGTGAAGAAATAATAAAATATTTGTCCAACTAATTTATTTGTTTTTTGCACTAATTGCTAACAATTCTGACAAAATGGTCAATTCTAGTTAGAAGCAAACTCCACTTCTTCACACGTTAATTTATTTATTATTTATTAGTTATTTATTAGTTTATTAGTTAAAATGAAAGATGAGATAACCCCATAAATTGCAAAAATATAATTGGAGATTACAAGTCGCCCAATTTATTCAGATTAGTCTAAAAATTTAGTATACTTAGGATCCTATGAGAATCCTTTGAGAGGATCTTCTGAATTTTAAACCACCGAATTTATAAAACTAAATAGAAGCATTATTGAGAAAGAAAATGCAATATTTTACAAAAACAATAAAACAAGATTTCAATAATTGTGTAATTTTCAATTAAATATTTCATTTTATAATGAAAAAAAAATACGGTATGAGATTGAATACTATTACAATTAAGATAGTTGATTATATTGGACAATATAGACTAGAAAATCCGTAATAAATTTTAAAAAATACTACGAAAATGTTTTGCATATACATTTCAAACAAATACATTACCAATTATAATAATTATAATATTTTTACTAACCTGCACATTTCATCAAATTTTCAAACGACGTTCCCCATCCAGCAACATCGTCCAGCGTTGGTCTGAAAAAAAATATACGTATTAATTTTCTACCAAATTAATATTCCATTGTATATTTTAACCACATTTACTGCTGCACGTGTAAGCGGTTTACCAAAATAATTTGCTAATAAAAATATACTTCTTTCATAAACTTGGAACTACTAAAACAGCCGTAAAAGTTAAGATTAAAATAAGTACTTCCGAGTATAAAGTGGGTATATTACTTCCATCATTTGATTTTATCATCATATAATTCTTTTCAGAAAGATGCTAAAACTCGTGATAATTTTATATTTGAATCAAACAGAAGGAATTATTTCGGGTTGATATAAAAGTTTGATGAATTGCAAAAGAAAATTAAAGCATTTTGAAGCCAAATGATTAATTTCGCCCTAACTAATAAAACAGGTTATTAAAAATAATTAGTGCTATTAAATGCAAATGCTGAGCTATTTTTAGAAAAGTGATGTAATTACAAATAATATTGCAAAAGCTATGCTAAATATTTCATTTTACCAGTTCAAAGCTTTTTATTAGTTTCGTAAACCAAAATCTCCAAGAAATATTCTGTAAATTATTAGTACAAAATATACGTATATATAGTGATTTGTCTCTATATTAATAGTTGCTCCAAGAAAGTCATTATGAATTTTGGACACGTGGTCAATTTTTACTTCTAATAAAACTGGGCGCAAAGAGTTTTTCTCTAAGAAGTTATTTTAGTTAATTAAAACTAAAATAATCTTGTGATACAAAATTGAGAAGTAGCTGTGACGATGATTATAGTATCCTTAAAATGACTCCTTTAGTGGTTGATTAAACCAGTTTTGATGACGTCTTTAACAATACATTCCTGAAATCGGCATTTAGTATTTAATTTAAAATGAACTATAAAGCTTTAATGATTGTTAGTTGTTATTTAGACCAAAAAGCCCTAAATTATGACAATGTTAGACTAGTTGCAGCAATTTCTAAGAAGACTTCCTTGTTTCAAATTGTGATAAAGATCATTTCTTGATCAAGAACGTTGTTCTCCAGTGAACGATTTAGCAATCTATTTTTTTTTCAATTATTTTTTTCATATTATTATTGATGTAATAATTGCATGTTATTTTAAATTAAACCTATATATTTATAAGACGGTACTAGTTATGGCTGTAGAATTTATTCAGAATGATACATAGAGTTTTTTTTATTGAAACATGAGCCGATTTCGTCCCATTTGTGGAGAATGCTATGCATTCATAGCGTTCCAAAAGTTTTAGATGGTATAGGAATACTTATTGGTTCAAGTGATATGGCTAAAAAAATATATTCGTCTACACGATGAAACAGTTTAATGGTAAATGCTTTATTAAATATTAGTATTGAGCGCGGAGCCAGCCACTCATCAACCTCACATATCCCAGAAACTATTGAATGTTCAAATTTTAAATTTTGGTCACAATCTTGGTAAAGTATAGTAACAATGTGTGTCATGTTTCATCAAAATTGCAAGTCGCATTTTTGAGAACTGTGATACGATCTGCTTAAATGTTAGTATTGATCTCGGAGCCAGTCACCCATCAACCTCGCATATCTCAGAAACTATTGAATGTTCCAAACTCCAAATTTTGATCATAATCTTGGCAAAGTATAGTAACAATGTGTGTCAAGTTTTATCAAAATCGCAAATAGCATTTTTGAGAACTTTGATACATTTGTTTAAATTTTATACTAATCTGATGAGAAGTCAAGTCTTAGGATAGTTGGTGCCTATTACATACGTTTGAATACAATCAACATTTACGTAGTTTTAGGCAATTCTTTGAGCTTCCTGGTATGTCAATGAATGTCAATGTCCCTCAAATTTCAATTGGTGAGTATAAAATACAATATTATTTTTGTATAAATTATGTAAAATATCCCTTTAGATATCTGTATCACCAATCTTAAAGAATATATCTACAGTATTAGTTTGATCATTTTTCAAGATGCAGTTGACACTGGCTATTTTTTAAAGCACTATTCATAATAGATGGTAGTATACACTTTTTTTAAATAGAGATAAAATGACGTGTCAACTCAAGTCATTTTTTGTATTTCCGACTTTTTTTCTTTAAAACCCATTAGTGATCTGTTCCCAGAGATATCCATGAATACAATACTTCCAATGATTCAGTAAATTATATATATAAATTGTTTATATGATTATGTTTTAAAATTGTGAATATATGAACTTTCGTGAGGGTTACTAATGATAAAAAATAAATGACATCAAAATTCTATTTGTAAAATATGATCCAGATACTTTCATAAATATATACTTATCGTTAGTGCATTTCTTAAAATGTAAAAACAGCTTTTAATACGTGTTATTTAAATGGAGCCATATGAATTTATTATTATTTATTTGTACTAGTTTTGACACTAAATGTGTGTCATCATTCAGCTAAAATGAAATTAAATAAGTTAAATGGTTCATCAATAAAAGTCAAGTTAAATGGTTCATGAATAAAAGTCAAGTCATACGTTCATCAATAAAAGTCGAGATTTTTTTATTTAAAACCAAAAAGTTTTATAATTCATTAAGAACGGTTCGATGTTTATATTTTAAAGATTTTCCCTTTGTTGGTATACATTTTTTAAATGCTTTTCATAGAGTAGAGCGTGGCCTAAAAGTCCGCGGGTAAAAAGGTCAGCCACCAATATATCAAAAACAAGGAAATATAGGAATTTTTTCGCAATAATTTTTGAAGGTGGAAGGCAAAAGATGTTTAATCAGGCATCACCTTGATTCTTAATATTTGAAAATCCATAACAATAAAATTTCCTTTGTTGTTAGTTTTTTTAGTTATGAGCACTGTTGTTTAGTTTACGGGACCTTAATATTTTTGAGCATGCGTAATTCAACTATATAATAGTGAATAAATAAGTAAATTAAGTTAAAAAAAAACAATTTGACAAAAAATAAATTAATTAAATAGTTATTCGAACTCTGCTGATGAATGTCTGACAAAATACAAAATCAAGGTTATATACAGTGTTATCTTTGTAAAAGATGTACCCGTGAAATTAATAATTTGCATTGAATGAATTATATAACTCTTACTCCCTATTCCCTTTGAAGTTGAAAATAAAATAATCGATATATTTGCCCCCCCCCCCTCCTGGCTGTTTCATATTTTTCCACCCATGGGGTAACAAGTGACATATAATAAATTTTAGAAAAATAGTAAAAATACTCATTTATATAATTAGGAATTAACTGGAAATTTTACTGAACATAGTTCGATGGTTATTTGTTTGATACGTGTATTCTGATGTAGTTTATTTAGCTTAGACTGTATAATTATTTAGAATCAAATTGGACTTTTGTGCCCCGCCCTATCCTGCATTATTTCATTGTAGCTGCATTTATTCTTTTTATTGGTGTATATTTTACAATATATTTTTCATTATTTTTAATTCAACGTATTGGCTATTGGTTAGATTATTACTAAACACGCATTATTCAAGCGTGCCATTGAAGTAAATAATTGATAGACTTTTTATATTCAAATTCAATCAATCAGATAACATTAATAGTTCAATATTAACAATGGAAAGTGATTATAGTCGACTCTAGTTACCATAGATATGTCGTTTAAATATTTTATTCCAAATATAGGGTTTGTTGACATGAGACTAATTATCTATAAGCGTTGGACAGCTACCGGACACTAATCAAGACAACTCATAAAGCTAACTTTCAAAAGTAGAATTTATTTACTTTAATGCCATATATTATAGCTTGATTATAGTAGTAATATGTCATAAAGAAATGATGATTGATATTCATTGGATCAAAGATGTAATTGGAAAATGTACTAAAATTATTTGTAAACTGTCTTGTAAGATAGTATTCATCTTTTCTACAAGAAGAAGGCTCATTACCAAGCCAATTTGAATAAAAATCAAGAAAATCAAGTGATAAAAGTTAAGGATATCGTGTAAGTAAAAGTGTGAACGTCATAAGCGCTAATGCAATTACATTACGTAAAGACGTTATTTTAATATTTATTGTATTATATTTTTTTATAACTTATTTTAATATCATTTTAATAAATATAGCCATAAGACACCAAATTATTAAACAAGTAAACGTGGCAAACATGTCGAAGTAACGCAAAAGTATGAATCGGTGTAAAAATGTTCTTTTGTATAATATTTGTTTGAGTAAAACTATTTATTTAAATATGAGTAAAAGTTTAGTTCAATAAAAGTCAATGAAACAAAAATATTATTTGAACTTTCTGTTTAAATTATAATAATAAGTCAAAAATGAAACTTTTTGCATATCTTCACGTTTCAGAGGTTTCTGAATATTTTGGCGTACCTCAGAAAAAATTGATGTATGTGTGTGTGTGTGGAGACAATTTTTCGTCGACGATTTCGGGTGTATGAATGAACCGATTTATAAAATTCAAAAACTAATCGATTCCTATTGATAGGGAGATGTGCTAATTAGTTTTTGGCAAAGTTAGGTCCAGCCGTTTCGGAGAAGAGTGCAGAAAATAGAATCCGAATTTTTGAGAGAACGAAGTACCGAATTTGAATTATCCAAAAACATTCTGCTTGTATTGGCAAAACAATTGTTTTAGGATGAAAAAAAAATATTTCAATTTGTTTTTTCAAAAAAAACTTTTTCGTATATCGAAAACAATTCACATTTTAATTTTAATCCTGGCTAAACTTCTGAAGCTCACATAAAATAAATAATTTTAACTTTGTAATTCAGTAAATTCTACAATATTTATAATAATCTATTTGAAAACATTTAACATTCCTCGATCTATTCGTTACGGTACAGGAAGTTCTAGAAATTTGCCTTAAGGCACGATGCTATACACCACTAGTTTCAAGTATTTTCGTAATAGTAAGTAATGAAATATTATTGTAAACCCTGGTAATTCATATAGAACTTAAAAATTGTTTTGACATAGGAATTTCGAAGTATTGCTGTTTTGAAATACAGTGAAATACCTATTATTTAAAAAAT